GTATCGATCCCTGTCTTAAGGGGCATTTTTGTTTTTGGGGCATTGTCCTAAGAGTCGGTATTCCAGGTCCATAATGACTAAAATAAAAAATATTCAATGACTAAGTTGAAAAAGGAATGTTTGGTTATAAGGAGTTCGAAAATTTGAGTTCAATATCAGTGAAAGTTAACAAATAGTTGACTCCGTTAGAATTGTGAAAAATATTGTTTTTTGCAAGTCAGTGAAACGAAGATCCACGTGTTAGTCACAACGTAACTCATATTAACAAACTTATGCTCATTTGAGCCTTGACTCAGACACATCAATTACATTATAACTTCGTACATTTAGTTTGACAATCCAACTTTACTCATTTTTCATGTTAAACATGTTAGGATCATTAGCAACGGTAACAACCTTCTACCTTTTATATTTCATTGACAATCTATGAGCCTATCTAAATTTTTGATACATTATTCAGAAGTTGAAATCTTATGCTTGTTTTCTTCCGAAAGTTAAAGATTTGTTCAATCTTCTGTTTTGCTTTGCTCGGGTAAGATGTAAAGAGATTTTTTTGCCTTTACGTCCAAATTTTGAATATTTATTCATTGCATTTGTATTGATTGAAAATTGTTCATATAGCATATATAATTGATGGGTTAAGGGCAAATAGATGAAAACGTTGTATACGTAAAAGTTTGTCACTCAAGTCAACCTTCATTGCAAGTCGGTGCCAGAGATCATCAACCCGATGCCCAACACATATACAGGTCAGTCCTAGACGTTCAACCGCCCGTATGCCTATGCTATGACAATCGAGCAAACACCCTGGGCTGACTTACCTTTGCCATTATAAATAAAAGTCTTCGCACGTGAGTCAGTAACTCACCAGGGATACAACTACCTAACGGTGTTGACAACCCCTCAAGTACAGAAGTTATACCTTGCGGAGCTTTGTCCTGTCATAAGGAGATAGATGTGAGAAATATAGCAAGCGCGCACGGTTGGAGAGGTATCTCCGCTGCCTCAACGCATGACCTAACTGATGCGTGACACGACCCTGAGGTCGGACACTTACCTCACAGTGTAAGCCGTCGTGCTCGACAACGTACATGTTAGTAAAATACGTTTCCATAAACAATGAAAAAAATAGTAATAATGAGCAAGACACATCAACGGTTTAACCCAGTTACCTAAATAAGGTGAACCTTTTATATATTTGGTTTGGACTTCCGTTTTTTTTTTCGATGTTAAATATAAACTTTTATATTGTAAGGTCTACAATCTATGTTTCATTTTGATATAAACTTTTATATTGTAAGGTCTACAATCTATGTTTCATTTTGATATATGAGTCAAAGAGCAAGAGTTAATGTTTGTTTTTCATATATGATTAAATGGTATAGAGCTCTTGATTTTATTCAATATTTCTTGTTGTGTAGATAATGCAATTATATTTGTCCTCACAGAACTCGGTCACTAAATCAATTCATTGTCTATGTATAAATAGAAAACAATACACACATTAAGGGTTATGTAAGTCTGATGGAATCCTTTTATAAGATGGGCGTGCGGACTTAGATCTAACTCCTTCGTATTCAGTGTTGAGAGGATCATTCTCCTTAAGAGGGTTAGGTCGATTTTTTGTATAAAGTATGAAGTAGGGTCACCAGCCCGTACGTACAAAGGTTCCCGGGCCGATCTTCGTACGTACCGGCGTTCAGGGTCCTACTTGGGGTCCGAGACCAAAGGCATTCGGCCCCCGCCAAAAATTATTTTGGGCCTAAAAATAAGTTTTGTTTTCTCAATGTTTTTTTTTAAAGTTCTCTATAATGTGAGGTACATGCCTATAAATTTTGAAGGTATTTTGTGAAGCCCCAAAAACATTAAAAATCGCCAAAAATGAAGGTGTCAAAACGTGCTTGCTCACTCGCTATTTTTTTTTTTCACTTTTTACTTTTTGTTTTTACTTTATTGCAGGGCCTAAACAATTTAGTTTATTTTGTTTTTTTTTTTTAATGCTTTTCTTATTATATAACGTACATATAGGTAAATTTTCACTAAATATGACTATGTCAAAAAACAATGAAAAATCGCCAAAGATGGAACTGTCGAAAACGTGCTTGCTCACTCACTATTTTTTTTTTTTTCTTATTTTTATTCTTGGTGTATTTAATTATTTTTTACTTTTATTTTGAATTTGGTAAGGAATTCAGACGTAATGTTCAGGCTAATATTGTTTATTTTAGTTTTTTTCATAACATTGTTTTTCCACTCATAGTTTTTACATGTAATGCTCGGCCTAAACGACCGAATGCACCCGAAGGGGTCTCATACGTTCAGGAGTTCGGTTTCAGGCGTTCAGCCCGTTCGGAACGCCGATTGCCTTATAATTCTTTTACGGGTCCTGACTCACATATACCTACCCTGTTACCTTTGGCTTGCGCACCTCTAACTCAAGATGTAAAGGTTGTCATATGTGAGTCAATACCACAAAAGGGATACCCGAACACAAGGGTCATGACAACCTTTTTGGTAGAGGTAAGTTGTACCTTGTGAATCTCTCTCTTATGACAGGGAATCGTGAAAGGTATTGTTGGCGCATCCGGCCTCAATGGTATCTGAGTTAACACCACTTCTTTGTATACTACCGCAGAACGTCGTCGAAAAGGTCTCTTATTCACCTACGCATCCGGGACCGCGACAATCGGCGAGTGGCATGTTGCTGGAATCTTTAGGTGCTTACCGAGCTCCTCATATAACAGACTCAAATATAGGTAAGTTGAAAGTTTAAACAAAACATACTGGCGTTGCGCAATTGCCCGAGTTTCCAAGCTGCGTCAGAACCCAAAATAGGCCTCTCGTCACTTGTCAGGCCTGCTTTTGCTTACCGAAGCCTTGACCCTCGCATTCCCTCCTCCATACTTCGACAGTCCTCTGAAGAAGTTCACTGAATCTAGCATTTTCCTTTCTGTAGCAACTTCTCATAACGAGTGACAACTTGCGGAGTAGTCTACATCAGTTTCTCCCTTGTAAACCATTTGTCCTCCTTTGGATCAATGTGATGTCTGAACCGAACGCAATATTGCAGCTTCGGCTTCGAAGGACGACCCCTGCCTGTTGGTCTTGGAACCGACATTTCCCTGTGGTCCACTATGTCGTCGATGTCAACCTCTCCATCCATGGTTGAGGGCAGCATTAACCGACGAGATGGAAACTAGTCAGTTTCCTTGAAAGGTGCGAGTTTGGAGGCGTGAAAGACAGGGTAGGTGTGAACAAGACCAGGGATTTGCACCATATAGAAAGGCCCATCGGGATCGTCTTCGACCACGTCTAAAACCTCCCATGATCCGAAATACTGCAGCATGAGCTTACGAGAGATTTCGTGCTCTTGCCCAAGTTCAGACGACTTCACCCAGACTCTTATCCCCAACATGAAATGCGGATGGGCGACGATGTTTCTTCTCAAACTCTATCATAGCCCTCTGTGCTTTGTGCACATGCTCCAGTACTTACTGCATAAGGCCTCCATACCGGTAAGCAAATTCTAATGTACTTGAAGCAGCAGTGGATTGGTCTTAAGGTAGTAAGAAATCTAGAGGCAATCGAAGGGTGAAAGTTAGTAGCAGATTGTTCGGGGTCACCCCTGTTGCACTGTGCACAGCGTTGTTGTACAAACTGACGATGAGGGCAAGCTTTTCATCCCAGTCCACCTGATTAGGCTTGATTTAGTGACTCAGCAAATGTTGTACAACGCGGTTCAACTGCTCTGCTAGTCCATTTGTCTCTGGTGGTTCCCGGAGGTCATCTGCAGTTGAGTCCCTTGTTTAGCAGTTGCAGCGTTCCATAACTCACTCGTAAATCGTTCATCCCGATCACTAGCAATAAACTTTGGTATATCAAAATCTTTGACCAGTTCTTTTTTAACAATTTAATCACGTACTCGGTCTTCGTTGTTTCCGGCATGACAACTAACCTAGCATACTTACTGAATCTATCCACAATGACAAAGACACATCTCATACCACTCTTGCTGGTGACCAGCATATCCATGAAATCCATGGTCAGGCTCTCACCAGACCTTTACGGAATCGAAAGGGTCTTGAGAAGCTCAAGAGGGATCTGTGTGTGTGGCTTGTCTCTCTAACAGACCTGACAAGTTTCCACCTACAGCTTGGCGTCTTTCATCATCGTGGGCCACCAGAACTGCTGCAACAAGTTCGTTGCACTTTTCTTATAGCCAAAATGTCATGTCGCATCATGACACTCGCCTAAAAATACATTGTGCAAAGACTCCCGGTTTGGCACACACAAACATTTATTCCCGACATTCTCGAGGAAAAGCAGGCCAACGACTAACACAAACTCGTTAGAAGTCACCTTGTCCTTTTCCTCGAGTCTGCGTATGATCTTTGCCATAAACGGATCCTCGCGATAGGCTTCCACGCACCACGGAAGTATGGCCTACGTGACATCGCATCAGCAACCTTGTTGTACTCCCCTTTGATGTACTGAGGCTCGAAGTCATATTGTTCGATGACTTTGATCCAACGTTTCAAAGCATCAGAGAGTACATGTTGTGTCCTCATCCACCTCAGGGTTTGAAGATCAGTCGTGACATAGAAGAATCTCTCAAGGAGATAGTGTCTCCAATGGGTCAACGCTTTATAGATCTCATATAGTTCTTTCTCATAGGTGGACTCAGCCAACTTTTGAGAGGGCATATTTTTGGACATGTACTCTACGTGCCTCAACTTCTTCACCTCCTGCTGCGCAAGCACGACACCAATGCCATATTGGCTGGCATCCGTGGTTACAATGAATGGTTTGTCACGATCAAGGAGTTCCAAGACCTCGTGGTGTCTAAGAGAATGCTTCAAATATTTGAAAGCAGCCTCACACATGTCTGTCTACTCCCAAGGAGTGTCGAGGTGTGCTAGATCCGACGAGGGTGTGGGCACTATGTTATAGTTCTTCGTGAAATTGTGATAGTATCCGGTCATTCCCAGGAAGGATCTCACCTCAGTCACAGACTGAGGACGCCGCCCGTCACGAATGTTGGTCACCCTTGTGTCGTCGAGCTTCAATCCCTCCGCGAAAATCTCATGACCCAGATACAAGATCCGGGTACGGCCAAACTCACAATTTTCCCGGTTGATCTTGAATTGGTGTTGCCGAAGGAGACTAAGAACTTTGTCTAGATGGGCTACACGCTCCTCGACAGTCTTACTGAAGACAAGTATTGTCGTCGAGGTACACCATGACAAACTTATCTAAGTAGTCATGAAAGATCTGGTTCATCGTGTGCTGAAAGGTGTCAAGAGCATTGCAAAGGTCGAAAGGCATCACCACAACTCGTACAAATCGTACCTGGTCTGAAAAGCAGTTTTGTATTAATCCTCGGGCCGAATTGGAATCTTATGATACCCATACTTCATATCTATGTTACTCAAGTACCGACAATCTTGCACTCGGTCCAATAAGTCATCGATGTGCGGTAGGGGCTCTGCGTTCTTTACAATGATGGCATTGAAGCCCGTATAGGCAGTGCACATCCTCAATGTTCCCCTTTTCTTTGGTACAAATATGACAAGAGACTCGTAAGGGTAGACACTCGACCGAATCCAACACTTCTCTATGAGATCCTTGAGTTGTCGGCAAAGCTCATCAAGCTCCGTTGGAGACCTCCGATAGATCCTACCCTTCGGAATACTAGACCCTAGGATAATCTCTATCGCGTTAACAACTTCCCTCTCAACCCCTTTCGGCTCTTCGAATAGGTCAGGGTACTTAGCGACCACTCACTCTATCTCTGGAGGCATTTTCACCGACTCACCCTCTGCAGGGACATACACTAAGTACATACCCTCCTCCGGATTTTGCTTATAATAATTATAGAACGTGGCCGCACACATGCATTTGTAGGACTCAATCAGAATTATTATTAGACTGCTAGCTTTATACTTACGTCATATGGCGGTCCCCCCTCCGGGCAAAGTATGTTTGACCACTTTTTGGTCCTAGTCAATCTGGGTTGTGCAACCGAAAGATAGTACATACCCAGCAAGATATCCATAGGGAGATCATCGCTGACTAGGAACAAGATTTTATGTCTCAATTCCCCTCCCGCGTACGGGAAACGACACTCAATGTCTTTCAAGTAGGCATTGATTACCATGCGCTGTTTGTTGGCACATGTCAACTCCATAGGTCGACTCATGAGTTGCACTTACCCCTGTACCCGCAGCCGTTCAAGGTAAGCGCGACTGATAAAGTTCCTCATCGAACAAGTATCGTAGAAGGCCCCAGCCTTACGGCCGCCTATATCTAATTCGTCGACGAACAACTCACTTGTATGAGCTTTAGCTTTTGCCGTCCAAAAAGCTAATGAGTCTGATTTACACCACTCCTCTTGCAGCTCCTCTAAGGCTCAAACACATTCATTGAACAGAGGATCGATTGGTTTGAATGTGTTTGCGGAATGGCGACAGAGTCAATAGCTTGGGCCATCTCTCGAGATCGTGAGGGTGTGTCCACCACCTCGGCCCTAGCAGGAACAACTATAATTCCTACTGCCTCGACTTGTTTCTTGAAGCAGTGCCAAAATTGCTGGCAACGTTGCTACCCTCGAAAGCGGAGGACACCGACGCATGCGCCATCGTAGGCGGGATCTTTTCTGTTACTTTCCTATTCCGACATTTGAACTAGTTATGACCATATTGGCCACAATGAATACAAGTTGCACGGGAGTAACGATCTCTCCACACGTCCTCTGTAATCCCCGCTTTCTCCCATGGAGTAGCATTAGGGTGTACTTGACTCCTTGACCGGGAACCTCCACGGCATCTATTGATCGCCTTACCTTTTTGAACTGAGGCAGCAACTGCTTCACCCCCTGAAGTTTTTGCGCCACCCGATTCTGACCCTATTCCCATCCGGAAATCGTCGTCCAACTCTATGGTAGTACCGTCGTTGTCGATGAACATGATATGCCCCTTGGCCTTTCAGTTACGAGGCAGTGCATTTTTCCTACCATCCGTAGTGGGTTGGTGCCCATGCCCGATCTTTGTCTCTAGGTCTAGGGCCTTCTTGCTGAACGAAGGGAAGTTGTGGACCGTGATCATAGCCTCACCTCCCAACTGATTCCTAAGCTCTATGGGAAGACACCTCAGGTGAGTGGTAAGTAACACCTTGGGGTCGTAGCGCACTCCAGGAAAAATGACCAGACGCTCAACCGCGCATGTGGCATCCCTTACTGACCTTAACTTCCTTGAGCTCAGGGTCAATATCCCGCCAGTGACCTTTTGAGCCTCCTGCGGGTCATGCCACCTTTCTTTCACCAGCTTGAGGAAATCATCTAATTTTTGGGTGACTTCCCAAGCGCAAAACATAGATTGGCGCCGACCTCAACCAGGTGTCGAGGTCTTCACCCTTCTCTATAGAAGGGTTTCGGTGATGCGATGGCAGTCTTGGGAACCCACTGTCCTTATCTTGGTGCCTGCACTACTCCAAGTTGTGGGGCCTGGGGTGCAGGTTGCTGCACTGACTACTGTACTGGCTGCGAGACGGCAGATTGCCCTGTTATTGTTGTCTGCGGCAGAGGTTGGGAGTACACTGTCTGGACATGAATCTGTACACTAGGACATGTTGATAACCCGCTTGAAGACTGAATGTTGCCTCCTAGGCGGACCAACTATATATAGCCCTGGTCCGACTGGGAGGCTGCTCTCACCAATGTCGGACAGCGCCAGTCCCTGGCGCCCAATGTCTAGCGCCTAAGTGGGTGCCCAAATTCGAATCTTCGAATTTGAAACAGGGCCTGAAAACGGCCTGGTGTCTACTGGGCCTATACCGGGTGTAGCTCCAAAACGGGCGCCAGGGCCTACCTACGGCCTACCGACCTACGGGGCCTATCTAGGCTGAAACGACACAGGCCTAACGACCTTTACTTAAACTAAACCGACACAGGGCCTGAAGGGCCCCTACCTAACCCCTGTCCTGTCTGGTCAGGCCCTGCGGGGGCCCGTATGGTGCTAAGTTTGCCACACCCCTCCGCCCTTGAAAGACCGAGCCTACCTGCGAGGGCGGAGTTGTCGTTCGTAGGGAGGGACCAAAGTCCCGGTGCGAGGGGCAGGTCGTGAAGCTTTCTTAGCTAGTCTTTGTCGTTCATAGTGAGCGTAGACGAGTGGTGCAGATGCTTGCAAATCTGCTCGTGAAATCCACCGAGTGTCGTCACGATCACATGCTTTGAAGGCAACTTTGTATTGTCGAGGCTTGTTGTCGTACTTGCGATCCGTGATGACGCGGTCGACTTCCTGATGATCATTCATAAACGGAGGTTCTTGAGATCGTCAACCCAGGAAATCATTGCTCTTAGCCGGTGTATATGTCGCCAACTTGGAGACGTGCAAAACTGGGTGGACCGGTAGATGCGGCGGAATCTCGATCACAAATGAGGGGTCATCGGGCTCATCGGCAGCTGATGTTACTGTCCAAGTTCCAAACCACTTGGGGAGTAGCTTGCACGAGATTTATTGTTCAACCGCAAACTCTTCCACGGAGACCCAAACCAGGTCGCCAGCGCGGATAGGACATGGTACGCAACGACGATTGGTTTGTTGATGCATGAGATCTTGAGCCTGTTGCATGTTTATGCGGGCTTTAGCCAACAAGTCCCGGTACTTTCGAACGGAGGCGGGAGAGCAAAGGGTGTCCATGTTGACAGTCCGTGGGAGGAGGAGATTTGCAAAGATACGGCCTTTTTGGTCATCGTGGTGCAACTCGAAGGGAGTCACACCGATCACCATATGCAATGAAGTGTTGTAGGCGAACTCGATGTCAGGGAGGCGGTCAACCCAATCCTTTTGGTCCATACGGCTAAGCGTACAAAGCATCATTTGAACGGTTTGATGTGCCCGCTCTGTTTGCCCATCTGTTTGTGGATGTCGAGCCGAACGCGGTTTCATTTCGGTGTCGGATTCCTGCATGAGAGAAGTCCAAAATGCCGACATAAAACGAGTGTAGCGGCTGCTAACGATGTTTTTCGAAACGTCGTGGCTGCAAATTCAGCCGCTGCGCAAGAGGGCCCCAAGTTCGGGAGCCGTGGCGTAGTACTTGCAAGGAAGAAATCACGTGTATTTACTCAATCGGTCAACGACTGTGAGGATGTCGTCGTGCCCGAAGAGGTCGAGGGGAAACAAGCCAGTGACGTCCATGGCAATGGAGAGGCTGGGTTCCCGCGGAATGGGCAACGAGCGAATCCGCCATAGGGGTTGCGATTTTGGGGTTTGCGTCGTCGGCAAACTTCGCAAGAGTCGCAATACCGAGTGACGTCGGTATTGAGGTCAAGCCACGAGAATCGTTATCGAAGTCTTGCAATCGTTCGGTTGACTTTGAAGTGTCCGGCGAGTTGCGAATCGTGGTACTCGCCGAGGAGGCAAGTCCGGAGGCGACGGTTTTGTGGGACGCATAGTAAGTCCTTGCCTCACGAGTGGAGAAGCAAGTACCCGTCGATGATGCAATAGTTGTTGGTCGACGGGTGATCTGAAGTTAGCTGCGCATATCACGTGGCGTAATCCGGATCAGACTGGTAGCCGCAGATAGAATGTCGTTGGAGAGGTCAGGGAGATGTTTCGGTGTGAAGTCAAATTGGTCGATGAAATACATCCATCGTCCAATAGTGTTGCTCACAGTATGTTGGGTCTTGTAGTAGGCCAACGGGTTGTTATCGGTGAACCATGCGAACCTACGACGCCCAAGGAGGAAGTGTCGCCATCGCTCGAGAGCCCTTACAAACGCGAGCAACTCCTTCCTTGCATTATCAAGTGAGTTGATGAGAGGCACCTTGTGGATGAAGTACTCCACGGGATGTCAGTCGTCGCCGTCGTATTGTTCCAAGACTGCCCCAATACCACAGTCGGAGGCGCCAGTTGTCACTCTCGTTGGCAAGGTGGGGTCAGAGATGCTAAGGAGAGGTGTCATGAGCATGGCCATCTTGAATGCTTGGAACGACCGACTCGCTTCGTCGTCGAATACGAATGGTACCTTTGGCGATTGTAGTCTTGTCCGTGATGAAGCGTTGGTAGTGGCCTGCTTACACCATGAATGAGCAAGTGGTCGTGGTGTTGGTGGGCTCGGGCCATACGTGGATGACCTCAATCTTGTCCGCGAGCGAATGGATGCCTTGCGGCGTCACATTTGTCGGGGTTGGCTCTATACTTGGTTTGTCGTAGCCGCTCCAAGACGGTTCACAGGTGGTCCACATGCTCGTCCAAACTGCGGCTGTACAACAAGATATCGCCCATGTAGATGAGCACGAATTTGTCCAACATGTGTCGGAACTCCGTTGTCATAGCCGCTTGGAACATGGTCAGGGCATTCGTAAGGCCAAAAGGCATAACCAGCCATTCGAAATGCCCATATCGTGTCTTAAACGTGGTCCCGCAGCAGTCCTCTCGTCGGATCTCTAGTTGGTGATATCTCAATTTGAGGTCAAGCTTGGAGAAAAATTAAGCGCCATCCAACCATTTGAGAAGGTCGTCGATGTGCGGAAGACGGTCAGCATTCTTGATGGTTTGCTCGTTGAGCCTGCGATAGTGAATGCACAACCGCAAGTCCTTGTTCTTCTTTCGGACGAAGAGAACGGGAGAGTTGTAGGCCGAAGAGCTAGGCCGTATCCAGCCTTTCTCAAAAAGGTCATCGAGTTGTTGTGCTCATAGCACACTTAACTCTTCCTCGCTCATGCATTAGATGCACTTACGCGGAGGTACAGACCCGGCCTCGAGAATGATCTCGTGGCAGATTGGTCGATCCGGTACGATTCCGTGCGGGACTCTGAAAACGTCACCATAGGCGTCGAGAAGCTTGGTGATGCGTGGGTCCGTCGAGGCGTCCGTCGATGGGATGTCATGGGGAGGGAGGGCGTGGAGAAAACACAAGCCCATCTCCTCAACGTCGTCCCATGTGATGGAAGCTCGAATGCTCGCGGCGGACACCACCTCACAGTGATCGAAGGGTGAGGTGGAGGACCCATGCACGGGACGAGTATACCGTTCCCATCACGAATGTGAACAGCGTGGCAGTAGAAGTTCACCGGGTGATCCTCGCTTTGCAGCCACGACATGCCCAAAATCATGTCGAACTTGGTGTCCAAAACGTCAAAGGATACGGCCTTGCTTGCATGCGGGGCGAAGTACACAGGGACGGAATTAATGCACCGATCGATTGACTTGTGCGTGTGACCGTCGGCCAAGGTGACTTGCATGGGCTGCGACTTCCTCCAAACTTGTGGCCCAAGGCCAGAGCGTACCATAAAATATTGGCTCATATAGTTGCGAGTTGCTCCTCAATCGATCAAAGTGTTGCAGGTTGCTTCTTCGATCTAAATGCGTATGTACAACAATGGTGCGTTGTTGTTGTCGTACCGTTGTGTCTTCAAATCGCGGTCAATCTTCACAAGGTAGTCGCGAAGGTCGACAACCTCTACTCCGGTGTCCATCAACGAAGTTGGTACTGTAGTGTGTAAGTACTCCCGCAATTGTGCCATGAGCGCGATGCACTGCGGTTTCGATAATTGACCGGTCGGGGGAAGGGGCATCCATTGGAAGTTCGCGATCGTCAATGGGTTAAGTTCCTCGTGTCTTGACCATGACATCGAGTCCCCAACGAAAATT